TACAATTCCTTCTAATCTTGGATCAATTCCTTTACTAGTTGGTGGCAATTTTCCTTCAGCTTCCAATACACGTTGTTGAGTATAATAATCAATACATTTAGCTGAAATAAAAACAAAATAAATAAAATAAATTGTCTAATAAAATTTAATTACTAAAATTACTAATAAAAAATTGCTAATACCTATGGTAGTATCAACATATTCATTGCGGGCATTAACATCAAAGAGTTCCCCAGCTCCCAAAGCATAAGTTAAAGAATCTTCAAAACTTCCTAAATGATAATATACTTTACTAGCAACTAATGCAGCTAAATCATGTTGAGGAAATGATTTATCTTCATGAAGAATTTCACTGAAATATATAAAAAACTTTTGTCAAATCTATTATCTCATCAAAACTATATAAAAAATTAAATAATAATATGTAAATTACATACATCTTTTCTATGGCCTCAGAAATTTCAGGCCAAAATTCATCTACTATCATATCCAACTTTTTTAAAGCAAACACCTTTAATTCTGGCATTGGTTCCTCAAGAAGAGAAATGATACCGGCTGAAAATAAAATAATAAAAATTAAAACCAATCAGTTAATTAAATTAAAAAATATAAAAGTTATAAAATAATTTAACACGTATTTTTTTATCGACTGTATTTAATATTTCGAATACAAAATTAGAGGTTATGGTCCATGAGTTTTGCAAATCATTGCATGTATATTAATATAATATAAAAATTTATTAACAAAATTACAAATAAAAAAATTAAGTATACGTTATAATAATATATTTAAAATAAATAATTTACCTGCTGATGTAATATTCATGTTGATTTTCATACAATATATATTCCTTCGGCAAAAATTCCAAAAGACAGTTTTGATTGTAAGCCACAAGCCACGGACTCGTCAACTAAATTCAATTGAAATATACTACATGCCGTTCTAGATTTAGCCACCTTAATGATGAAAGAACTATAAATCACGTAACAAAATTTTCAAATTTTCTTCAATTTTTTTTAATATAGTTATTTTTTAATAAAAAGAAAGAAAATTTAAAAAAAAAATATGAAAATATTGTTAATAATTAAAAAAAATCTATAAATGACAAAATTTTAATCTTGGAAATTCGGACTTTAGTGTGGTAGCACTGCTTTCAATGGCGTATACTTCATAATTTTCTGTAGGATTTTGATTAATAAAACTAATCAAAATCTAAAATACATGTAAGTTAAAATTAGTATATAAAGTATAAGAATATTTATAAGAATATTACATTTCTTAAAATGACGGAAAAAGCAAAAACTATGAGTCATGTAAAACATATTCCAAAAGATGCCCAAGTTATAATGTCAATTATGAAAGACATGGGTATTACAGATTATGAGCCAAAAGTTATAAATCAATTACTCGAATTTACATACCGTAAGTATTTGCAATTTATTTAATGTATAAAATAAGATATATGATTATGTATATTTATTCTTTTTTATTTTCTTTTAAAATATAAATTATAAAGTAATAATTTGATTATTTTAGGTTATGTTACTTGTATATTGGATGACAGTAGAATATATGCAAATCATGCTAAAAAGAAATTTATTGATTTGGATGACGTTAGATTGGCAGTTAAAATGCAATTAGAGCGTACTTTTACAAATCCACCACCTAGAGATGTATTATTAGATGTTGCTAGGGCCAAAAATAATATACCTCTTCCATTTGTTAAACCAAGCAATGGTCTGAGATTACCACCTGACAGATATTGTCTAAATGCCACAAATTATAGACTTAAAAATGCAACAAAAAAAGTAGTTGGGAAACAATTACATTCTTTAGTTGGAAATAACATTCAAGGTGGTCAATCTAAAATCAAAGTAGAAAGTAATAAATCTGGTCTTTCTATTGTCAAAAGGCCAGGAACACTTGCAACTGTTGCTAGAACTCAAACTATTTCTATGCCAAAGCCTGTTTTAAAATTTTCAGCGGGTAAATATATAAAATTTTATAAATACATTAAATATTGATTTCTTAATTATATTTTATTCTATAGATCCCTTCCGAGCTCTGCATTCCCAAACATCTATTCCTTCTATCCATATTTCATTAAGAACCCAAATACGTAAGATATAAAATAATTTGATTAATAATAATAAAATGTTATATCCTATTGTTCTTAATATAATTTGTATTATTAATTTATATTAATTATTTAACGTTGTAGCAGGAGGAGGTACTACTGTAAAAGCACAAGTATCTAAACCAAAAATTCAAATTTCCTCAGGACAAACAATGCCCCCTGTAAAAATGGAAGTTGAAGAACCTATGAAAAGAAAGAGAGAAGATGATGATTATGATGTACCATAATGTACATATAAAATAAATATTAAATATTTATGTTTTATTACATAAAACAATATACAATGTCAAAATAATTTTATTTCTTTATGCAATGTAATAATTTTTATAATTTTACCTTTCTATAATTAAAATTAAATTTAAAATAAAATTATATATTTTTATTAAGAGAATACCATAAAAATATATGATTGTAATAATGAAATTTATGAATTTTATTACCCATACCAATATAATTATATATATTAATAAGTATTTATTATATATCACAATTTTTTGCATTTATTTTTCTCCTAAACAAAGAAAATAAATATCAATTTTTATTCATTATAAAATACTTTCACTAAATAATATAAAATATATTTAAAAAAATAAGATAAATATTTTAAATAAATTAATAGAATCTATTCAATTTCAACTTATTTACAATCAATTTTATTCAGACTATTTTAAATCACACGAAAATAGACGTTTTATTCATTATATTTACATAAAATCAAAATTATTCATTATGGAACTGCATATTCTTCTTCATCTCCTGGCTCTTCTGCTTCAGTTTCTTCTTCAGTAACGTATGCAGTAGGACCTATTTCAGCTTCGATTTCCTCTTCAACTTCTTCTTCGGCTTCAAATTCAGGTTCTATAGCTTCCTCCTCTTCTTCATCCACCTCTCTTATTTCTCTTGGTTCTATCTCTGGGGGTATCTCTTCTACTAATTCTTCTGGTAATTCTTCAGGCTCCTCTTCCTCTTCTCGTTCCTCTTCTGGTACGCCTTCGAAAGGTGGTGGCTCTTCAATTTCGATTTCTTCCGGTGGTTCTTTCTTTTCTATTTCTTTCACATCTCTTTCTCGAATGCATTTCTTTCGGTGAATTGGCAGGAAGAGTTTAAAGTCTTCTGGCAATTCATCTTCGGAATATAATCTATTCGAGAAATATTAAATAATAAAAAATAATAAATATTTTTTCAATACTATTGTGTGACAAATTGTGTCATAGTGATGCTAAAAAATTTACATATTCTCACGCTTGGATTTCATAAAATGAAAAAGTCATTAAAAATATATCATTGAGAAAATATAATTAAAATTATTTATTTATCAACCTAGAAGAAACTTAAGCCACCTAAAATTAAATGAAAAAAAAACCTGAACTGAACTGAACTGAAAATCTTCTTAACTGAAAATCTTCTTAAAAACATTTATATATAAGTAATTATTTAATATATAAGTAATTATTACGATAATATACATACATATTATGTATAATTATTTTTATGATCAGATTTTAATTTCGATTAACTCAATATTAAAAGAAGAAAGCTAATTTCCTACCTGTCCGCAAAGTAGATACGTCGAATCCTACAGTTTGCATGGATCTGTACTCGCGTAGTTTCCATATAATTTGTGCCATACGCTCTTCGCGTGAAATCTGACAGATTAAATTGAATTTGATTCCAACCGCCAGATAAACCGATCGGCATCGACGTGCAAAATGGTCGAACCCGAGTGGTGCTTTGAAAATTGCTCATTCGAAATCTTCTGTGCATATCTTTATCATCGAGTATCTGTCGAATCGAAAACGATAATGCAAATTTTCCTTTCTTTTTTCTTTTTCTTTTTTTTCTTTTCTCTAATTCGAAGCAATTTTAATTTTACCAAATATATTGAAATCATTTTTTCAAAAAAGAAATATAATAAAAAATCTATACGAAATTTTTTTCATGAAAAATTTACTGTTATTTCGAACGTGAAGTACTTCTTCATATTCTTGATAATCATGATTAAAAACGGAAGTTTAATGCCGAGGGAAGCTTTCCTGTTGCCACGAGGACAGTAAATGTAAGTTGTTGTGACATTGGTTCCGGCTAATTCCAAAGCTAAAGATTTCACCTCATCGTCCGTTACTCTTCGAATATAACCATTCTTCACCTATTCGCAATAATTTCACTTTTCAGCTCAATTTCAATAATAAATAAAATAGAATATATTTTTTCACATAATTTTTTTGTACAATAAGAAATTCTTTTCATGGAGATCAAACTTTAATAACGTAAGCAAAATTAAATATTTTCTTTATCCATTGATAAAAAATAAGATAAAAAGAAATTAATTTTATTATTTTAACACAATAGAAAACATCTTCGATTATTACCAATAAAAAAAAAAATTAATCCAACGTAATAGAATATTTTTTCTCCTACCCTTTCCATCACTCATTAAAAACTTACATGCATATCCCATAATTCGAGCGGTGACGATCCACAGCTGTACAAAATGGACATAAGTCCGTGTTGATACTTGTTACGAAACATAATGCTCCTCCTCTCATCGAATGAATAAAAAAAAAATAATCGAAAATAACTCTTACATTTCCATCGTATCCTTATCTCGAGAAAACGTCACGTTTAATCGTTTTAATATAACGCGAGAATGTATTTCTTTGTTTCGTTCGTCGGATCGAATTTGTTTTCACTTCTAATTTCGCTCCACACGCCCTGTGTCTTTCAAACTCACGAACGAAGGAAGAAAATAGACTCGCCCACACTTTGTTCAATGTAGAAACTCTAGGTTTATTCGATTGCACGTGTCGTTACATATCAAGCACAATGAACGTTGGGAGGACAATATAACGAGGTGTTGTTTCGTTATTTGACACGGAGAAGTTCGTTGATGTGACGTCTCTCGTTCTTGCTTAGCAAATCGGGGACAATCAATGTCTCCTGTGGTATCCCAAAGCTGAATACCCGGTCGATCCTGACGCTATCGATGGCGAACATCTGCATCATCGCGAAATGCATTATGTTGCGGTTCATTTGACGTCTGATCTGCTTCCTGGTCTTCTGTACACGGTGCCGGCAGACCACGTAACTTTTAACAGATTAAACGTTTTATAAACACTGACAATGGAATAATCGAAATTTTTTTAGAGAAATTTAACATTCGAAATAAATTTCTGAATTGTTGAACAATGAAATGAAAAATTTGAAAAATTTCAAATTTATTTCGAGAATTAGATTCTTTTTTAACATCTTTTTGATAAAGTTTTTGAAACTTTTTACAAATCATTAATTCATTAATTATATATATATAATTCTATTATATTTTTTTTAATATTATAAAAAATTATAAAGAAAAATTGAAGAATTTATCTTTTATATTTCTTTTATTATATTACATTTACTTATTTTTTAAAATATTTTAAAAAATTCCAGTATTCAAAATTGAAAGAGAAAAAATTTTTACTTAATTAATATTTTTTTCATAGAAAAGTAGAAAAATCAAACAGCTATAAAATTCGTCTTAGAAATAAAATACAGAAATTAAAAAAGGTATATTACATTTTATTTATTTTTATGAATGAAATTATTCTTACTAAGGAAATTTTTTAAGAGTGGTGTAACTTGGATGTATGGAAACATCGCTTCTGTATAATTCCGGATACAATTTCATGTGTTTCGTTAAATATCTCTTAACACGTGGTTTCGTTTCATTTTCCTTTTTATGAATGTCATTCGATTTCTTTTCGTTATTATTTTCGGTCATCTTCTTCTGATTAATCATTTTGTCCTATAAACTACAAAATACACACAAAAATATCGATTCTTTATTATAACCGATTTATCCATCAACGAGGCCCAATATTCTCATTTATTAATATTAATTTACAATCCAATCAAAATATTCCAATAAAAATGAAAAAAAGAAAAAAAAAATATTCTTCAACAATTTTCCAAAATATTGTTTAAATATTTTTTCATTATTCCTCGATTTGATTGAAATTAATCACGATTTTAATATTACTCACGTACGAAAGAAACTAAAATTTTGGAATAAAAAAGTGTCGAATGAACGAAACGTGATGATCGCGATAAACGCGAAACTTGGACTGGAGAATTTTTCGATTCGGCGAGTCTGGCTCGTCTCTCTCGTTGGATCCGACGAAAGTTGGCCGATCTGTAACGAAGTGAGCCCCTGTGCCTCGTACGGATATCGATTTGGTTTCCAGGTGAATCAATAGAGAGATTCGGTTCATTCTTATTGCGATAGGTTTGTCTGTAGATGTCGGACCATCGAATTCACCACACAGATCCATTAATCCATGCTAATTAACCGCGAGAAGATTATGCGGTAACCTTAGGAATTTCCGGAGCGGGATAAAGTTGTTCTCAACTCATCGAACGATCTACGATGATTTGAATTACATTTATAAGATGGACGATCGTTCGTTAAGATATTTGTTTGAGTAAATATAATGAGTAAATAATAATAAGTAAATTCGATTACTTTGAGAAGGATTAAATGGAATAGTGAAATTTTTATCATATGTGAAATCATATATATTAATTGTAATTTTGATGAGTGATTTTTTTTTAAATTTTTAATTAATAATTATATATCAAATTATGAAAATCTTGTATATCGTTATATTGAATAAAAAGTTTTAAGAAGTAATTAGTGTATAATTAATATTTAATATTAATTATAATATTAATTATAAATATTAATTATAAATTCAATGGAGAAGGATTTTTTTAGAATAATTTTGTGAGGTGACTTGCATTTCCGATTATTTTATATATAATCGGTTGATCCTTAAGATAAATAAACCTTATTTTATTCTTTTCCACGTTTTCTTTAAAAAATAATAAGAATCTTTTTTTATATTCAATAATAAGTTACTTATGCAGCAATTCAATATGATTTCTGCATTCGCATATAATATATAATCAACTCTGGATTGATTTTCTTATTGTTAATATTTATATGCATAAATTGTTACATATTCATGAACTCAAGAATAAAGAAATCTATTCTCAGTCAATCACACTTCACGTCACTTGTCTTTATACAGGATACAGATTCTAATGCACTTAAAGAATAACCATAATCTTGCTTTACGATTGTGCAATCTCAAGAATTTCAAATGATTCGATTCCTTAAAATAATTTGATAAAAAAAAACAAACGATTTACAATAGATTTTAAACTATCTTTTACCTTTTACAAAAAAAAAAAGAAAAAAAGAAAGAAAAATGCAGATTGCCTTCAAATTTCCATTTTTTTAAAAATAGTTAAAGCAATTAGAATCGTTAAACTCTTTAAAAATTTCTAATGACTTGTATAAACTTAAATTTTCAATTCCACAATTTCCATTTCATCTTTACGTTAATTAACAAAATCAAATTTTGTAAATCGTCAATCATCCCCTACCTAACACCATTTTCAACCAGAAAACAACGAATTTAATTAACCGCCATCGTATGAGTCCATTGAAATTGCTTTCAAGAGCTACATCGCGTGCCATTGTTGGACGAAATAGACGAGGAACACGAAGGATATTTATCGAAGGACTATCGAGTCCTCGAGAAGGGCCAATCACTCGCAATGGGATGTTATTGCGGCCCACTCTTAGCGGTGAAAATTCTATTGCAATTAACGTGGACATGTCGTTAACAACTTCGTTACCGCATCGATTAAACGGTGCATCTTCGGTAATCGGTGTGTGCACCAATCGATAAACGTGCAAAACAACATACTTGGCTCGAACTCTTGCCCTTTCGTCTCCACGCGTTAAACGAAATTTCTTTGACACCGCGCCGTAATTACTCGAAAACCGAGTGCTCGAGTTAATCGAGGGACGTGGTTAGGAAATTGCGAGGAAAAATTAACTTACGGCCGAGTTAATCAGGGGGACGAAACTTATTAAAGTTGTTTTTTAAATTTTTTTTTTAAGTAACGAGATATTCGAGTGGCTACAAGTAACAGTAAGAATATGTAAAAATTGAGTTGCGCTCTGCTTCACTTCGTGCAATAGAAATTTGATTTGATTATTAATATTAAATAAATAATATTTTGAAAATGTTCTTTTGAAAATATTCCATGGATATATTAATATCTCTTATATTGTATATATGTGCGAACTGAAAAATTATAAAATTTGAATATTTCAGGTAAAATCTAACTTAAAATCTAAAAATAATAAGTAAGTAAGTTTATATGTAGATAATTGGAATAACTACAACATAACTACAAACCATGGATCAATATTGTATGCTTTTCTTATGGAAATTGCATTTCGGTATAACATGGCACAAAGTGCTCGTTAAATTGTGAAATACAGATTTCAAATATTTAGAAAATTAATTACAATACAAAAGTTTAGATCGTGCAAGAACCCATTAACTACATATATCTATTATTAATGTTTTTTGAATAGATATTATTAATTTACAATACCTAAAATATTCTATCTAATTTATAATATCTAAAATACAATAACTCTCGAAACTTTCGAAACTAAAACTTAGATTACTTATTTTTCTCCTTTTTCTTCTTCTCTTTTCTTCGTGTAAGGAATACTATTAAAGGAAAATTATTTACTTCTAAAATTCTTCGATATAAAAAATTAAATTCCTATTACTTACTTCTTCTCATATAAACTAATTAAAATAAATCAACAATCTAAAACAATCTAATTCAAAACAACTTAACAAAATTCTCATAGCTTACGAGTTACCAGAAATAACAGAATAATAAATCACTCCAATTACCCGTTTCTTCCTTTTTAAAAATTTCTAGCGCTATATATCTATTTTTCAATCCTCGTGGAAAAAAAAAAATGAAGAACATTAATCCCACAACTCTGTTGAAAATTCAAATGCGATCATCTCTCGCCCAATTCTGCGCATGCGCCTATCAAATAACACGGTACGTCCACAAGTAAGGGCCGCAATAACCATGCTCGAACTTATTGATATTTTACGTACATTTGAGAGCGCGACACGAGTGAGACAGTTGCACCGTGGGCAGTTATACGTTCTATACGTGTGGGAGTAGGATACGCATATGGACAAGAGGATGCGCCAGAGACCTCGTCACGCCCGCATGCCCAACGTGTGCAGTGTCCGGGTGTACAGCTGATCGCCGAGTTCTGTACATTCCCAACGCAACTGAGAGCGCACTGTGACGCGTTGATAGCACATGTCGAACGGCCAGGTTATCCATTTGGGACCTGAATCACGTTTACATAGATTAATCAATTCGAAATCGTGTCAATAGCAATCGTGTACGCAATGTTGCGGTGATAGCCAGGTGTGTACACGTTTGGAGTACGCGAAGGGACGTCTTTCACCCTCTCCCCCACTTTTAGCCGCTCGTTCATCCGTGTGTCGTTCACTGTATCGTTCTTTGTACCGTCCCTTCGTGGGATGTACGTGTGAGAAATTAATTATAACACGGAAGAGAGGAAGCCAACGATGTGGCGTGAATCAGCGCGTCTCGTGGACCTTTGATCCCTGTCGGATGTGCGTGTAGTCGTAGCGTGTGGTCGTTTAGAGAGGGTGGATCGAGAGGACGAGCCGCGTCGAGCAGATCCAGGAAGCCACTTTCGAGGATAGCACGGTTGGCCACGCTCGACAGGCTTGTTTATGATGGCCAACGAAAAGACACAGAGACCGTACAGGTGCGTGATCGTTTGGTCGTTTTCAGGGATCAGAATAGTGGGGCTGAATGAATATTCGAATGAGGATTGCGATTGCCGGCCACGAAGCCGATTTCTGCGAAGCACTTGAAGAGGATGATGAGCGATAGACGTCGACCGATTTGACGATCTTATTAAATTGTCTCTGACAATTGTTGCTTGATACCAAATGATTATTGGTTGAGTAGTTGAAAAGTATGAATATTGAACGTGATAAATTATATTGTTCGTTTTTCATTTTAGAAAATTTAATTTGAAATTTGTTATTAAATTGTATTATCGTATCAATATTAATTTTAATATTGTTGCTATAATAGAAAAATTGAATTTATATTTTGATAGTATATTGGTAGTTGTTTTTATTTTGAATTCTTAAATTCAAAATAAAACTTATAAAGTATGTTAAAAGTAATACTAAAGATAGCAATTTTGATAATAATATTTATCATTATTCTAATTTTGTTAATATAATGAATGCTATTGAAATTAATATTATGGCAAAACTTTGATAATAATTTCAAAACTATTGATTATAATATTAGTTACGCAGTAATGAGTACATATCTATTTTTAGAAAGATCTTATCTTTTATCTTTAATCTTTAAACTTAACAAGTTATAACTTTATATTTTATCAAAGTTATCTATTTCAATCAAATATCATCAAAATAAAAGATCAACAATATGGATTTGTCATCTTATTATTTTATAATCTACACTTTTTAAGACGTCACTTTCTTAAAATTTTTTAGATAACTGTAATTAACAAAGGCATCGAATGTTTTTTGAATAAACATTGACTATAATTTTGATCGATTATAATCGTCAAATTTTGCCCGATTAAGGTTTCAAATGACGTAATTGACGACCATGTTCGGTCAGATTGTAGCTGATTTATTGATCCCGATTAAGTATTGTTACCAAAACAACTAGTTTATAGGGCAATCGATTACGTTTTGCGCATTGCTTCATATATATTTTTAATTTTTTATTTCTAAGATTGAATAGGACTATCATTTTCCATTTTCTATGTTTTTTAAATAATCAAATAGTAATCAAGAACTACTTTTATATTTTGAAAAATATAAATTTATTAAATTATATTATATCATTAATATTACTATTAGAAATTTGTTTAATTTCTAATAGTCTAATTAATAAGAAGAAATAATGTAATTGAAACGATAAATTACTGGTCACTAAAATATAAGTATTATTAACATTCTTTTTATTAATGTTGCTTGAATTAATCAGATTATTATTTAACCAATCGAATTATTAAAAGTATCATTTTCTTTTTAAGAACAACGTTACCAGTGCCAGGTCACTCGGAAGTAAATCTATGCTCGGTGTTATCACTGGGCAAAGATCTTAGCAAGATCACTATGCCGGTCATCTTCAACGAACCGCTTTCTTTCCTTCAACGTGTAGCCGAATATATGGAATATGCTAAATTGCTTAAACAAGCTGCCCAAGAAGAAACTCCTATTAGAAGGTTACAGGTAAATTTTTTTTTTTTAATCGAAAAATCTTTTTTTATCTAGAAAAAAAATTTATTAAAAGTCGATGATTACAGTACGTCGCTGCTTTTGCTGTAAGTGCTTTGGCTTCAAACTGGGAAAGACTTGGCAAACCCTTCAACCCGATACTTGGAGAAACGTACGAACTGGAACGTGAAGATTTCCGGTAAGTAATAATAAAGTTCAAGCCACTAGGAAATTCATAGTTCTAGTATGATATAAATGTTAAAATTAATGATTTATTTCATGATAGATTTCGAAAATAGATGTAGATTTGGAAATATTATTAAAGTATTAATTTAATAATTTGATAATTTTATTAGATAATAATAGTTTGATAAATTTTGCAATACAATATATATATATATATATTAAAAATAATAGATATATTATTTTCTTAAAATGTTAATTTATAATTTTTTCAAAAAAAAATGAACAAAAGCAGTTGAAAATCGCTACTCTGATAACTTTTTTGACTTTTAAAAATATGATCTAAAAGTATTAATAAATATAATTTTTTTATTCTTGAAAGAAATTCTTCAAAAATAAAATATTATATAATTTTTCATCAAATCATTGAAGTAATTGAAGATTGCTTCTTTATCGTGGCAGTAAAGCAATTACCATGGATAGATAGGCACAAAAAGGGTCACAAACCAGCGGATCAATTTACCCCTCTTGCATTTAATCTTTGAAAAGAGATTCTAAAAATAGAAAATAAGTTATAGATAAATAATGTAAAAATCGATATAATTGATTTAATCATCAAATGCGAGTATTTGTGCAAATATTTTTTTTATAAATGCATGTATAAAAGACATATGAAGGTCAATTTTATTTTTCCAGAAAAGATTAATATTATATTATGTTGTACTATTTACAATATTTGCTTGTCAAGAATAACAAAATAAATTAATTATTACTTTCTTAAAGAATAATATGCCAGATTTATCTTGTGCTAAGAATGCGTTAAAAAATTAATAGAATATCAAAATTGCAATTATTATTTCAGAATAGTTTGTGAACAAGTATCACATCACCCACCGGTATCCGCGTTCCACGCAGAAAGTGATGAATTTGTATTCCATGGCACCATACATCCGAAATTGAAATTCTGGGGCACATCTATAGAGATTCATCCAAAAGGCATTGTCACTGTCGAACTTCCAAAGTAAATATATTAATTTTTCAATAATTCTTTTTTATGAAAATCAAAATTACTATTATGAAAACAAAAATCGAAATACAAAAACAAGTATATAATTCTATCATCTCCTCTTCTATAAATACATCTAGAAAATTCTGTATATATATATAAATAATATATTAATAAAAATATAAAAAATAATTAAACATAAGAATTCTAAAAATACATTGAAAAAATTATAAGAATTAATTGTAAATAATTGTATTCAAATAATACAAAAGCAAAAAGAATAAGAATATAGTCATATTAAAATTCCATTATCAACTGTTTCACATATGCAGATGGAAGGAAGCATACACTTGGCAAAACATCAACTGTATACTGCATAACGTACTCGTGGGTCAATTATGGATGGAACAGCTCGGTTCCTTGGAGATCAAACAAAGCGGTGGAGCGAACTTGAAGGCAATTCTTTCCTTCAAGAGTGCCAGTTGCAATGGAAAAGATCTTCACCGCGTCGAAGGCTTTATAATGGATCAAGAGTAAGCTGGTAACAATTTATTATCACTTGAATTCAAAAATATAATAACGATGACTGTATCGCAAATCGAATTGCATGCAAAAGTATTATACATACGATATACATTCTAATAAGTCTAAAAATATATTAATAAATATATAATATAATATATAATAAATAATATTTTAAATATTTAATATATTTTATGTCTAGAAAGAGGAAACTTCTTTTTTTGTATGGAAAATGGACAGATAGAATAAAGGTGTGCGATCCTTCTTTGTACGAAGAAGCGTTGGAAAAAGTGAAACGTGATGCCAAGAGTCCTCAGGGTAGTCCTGGTCACAAGAAGGTTCTTGCAAAATTGCACAGCCTCAAGGTTGGAGCTTTTAAACCTTCTCATCAGGTATTTGGAATGTTAATTGATTTTAAAATGAAAATAATAAAAATAATGAATAGAAATAAAGATTAATTTTAATTAATACAGAGAAAAAAATAAAATTTAAATAATTAAAATATGCAAAATAAATAAAATATTCCAATTTATGTAATTTATATAATTGTTTCATCTGATTCATTGATTTTATATATTATAAATTCGAGGTAAAAATTCCGCTTTCCATTCATTTTTTTGTACCTTCAACTTTCAAGTGTTTTAAAAGCAAACTATATATAGAACTTTATATTTTATCCCTATTTATACGTATCTTCATTCATTAAAGCTTTGCATATTCAACAACTTCAACAAGTTCTCTTTATGAAAAAAAAAATTTCGTCATGAGAAAAGTAGCAAATGTTTTACATAATTTATGAACGATCTTAGTATCATACTTTTCTTCTAAAATATATTAAAATTTTATAATCAAAGATGAATAAAAAGTTATATTGAAAGTATTTTTATTGAAAATATCAGAAAAACATTTGAAATTTTATTTTTAATCAAATTAAAATTAAAAGATAAAAAATATTATAAAATTATAAAATTTTATTAAAATTATTTTTAAGAAAAATATTCGAAATTTTATTTTAAAAAATTTAAATATTTCTTAATAAATAATTAATCCTAATTATATTTTTGACATCTTAAACTTTCTTTTTATTTTTTCGATTGTTTAAGGATGCAATTGATGATCCATCAGCAAGTATAGACGGAGATGAAACTCCAACGATCGATGACATTCCTGGATCAATTACTCTTTGGGAAGCTACTCCGAGACCATCTAATAGTTCAGAAGTAAATAAGAACCTTTTTATTATATTTAATTATAATTATAATTCTATTCGATATCTTATTAAACTAATAATTAATATTTATTCAATCGATTTCCAGTATTATCAATTCACAACGTTTGCAATGTCGTTAAATGAATTGACATCGGAAATGGAAAAAGTGATATGCCCGACAGATTCGAGATTAAGACCGGATATTAGGAAATTGGAAAATGGTGATCAAGATGGAGCTGCGACTGAAAAGATGAGACTTGAAGAAAAACAACGGGAAACGCGTAAATCTCGAAAGCATAAGAAAGGAGAAGAATGGACACCTAGGTAACAAATAATTAAAAATAATTAGTTTTTTATGTTAAAATTATTTAAAACTTTTATAATATAATAATTTATATATATAATAATTCCTTATTTGCATAACGTATATAATAGTAATATTTTTATTTTATTTCATGAATAATATTCATTATAATTTTTCTTCTCTATGATACTACAGATATCGATTATCCGTTATGTAAACTTTTTATGTGCCACAGGTGGTTCCAATTAGCCATGAATCCATATACAAATCAAATGGATTGGTTATATCGTGGAGATTATTGGGATCGTAACTACAGCAACATAGAAGACATATTTTAATAAACGTGGATACCCTTATTCGAACGGAAAAACTAACAAATAACGAAATATACTGTTCTCATAAGGAATATTTATTACAAGTAGAATTAAATTGGTTGCTTTTTAACAATGACATCGCATGAATTTTGTATCGTTGGTCGATTTACAATTCTCAAAACAATTTAAAGAAATCCTTGCTTATGTCATCGTTATAGCTATAAATAACAGAGAAACAAACAATTATAAGATGTAAACATAATACGTGCTCTTCTAAAGATTCTTGAAAATCTTATAAGAATAAGAAGACAAAGCGAAATATAAAAAAAGAAATGCTTTCTTTCTTGTGACATACAAGTACCATTGTGTTCCAGTGAGATGAGGCGTACAATCGATCAATGAAACGACAATGCGAGATGCGATACTTCAACACAAACAGATCTTCCATCACGAGGAGAAAAACTTTTGTACAATATACAGCTTTACACAATACATATATGTGTCTCCTCGATAGTGCAATCTTAATATATTGTACACACAAATATTTCTCAATACACGAACTTGTTCACAGATTCTTTCGAAGCGACCAAGAAAGGAATTGTTATTCAAACTATGCCATAAAAAGATGAAAAATCATTAAATCTCTCAAATCCAATCTTCTCTCGAAGAATTGAACGAGCAAGCTTATACCTCGTAGAAAAATTCCGTATGCAGGTCGTACGTGCATAGTCTTTTTTAGGTAATTAAATAATACCCTGGTACTCAATCTGTGAGTGCCATAGTAGAGGTTAGGTAATGAAACGAGCCAGATGAAACAATTTCTGCTGGTTGTTGTTCGCATGCGAAATTTATCGCTGTAATCGCGGCACCACGCTTAAACATGGAATATCGTGTAACTGCAGTTTTGTAGATTTACAAATAACACTTAGAAATCAATGTCTGTATAAAATGTCGCGCAATAACGAACGAACTTTATCACCCAAGCGAAGTGACCGGATGGTTCGCCATGACACTTCGCATGGGTAGGTGATTTTCATAGCGCGAAATTTAAATTACAAAGTCCATTGTAGCATTATTGCTATAATCGATATTTGCTGTATATATTACGGTGAACAAATAACAAAATAGTAATTTTTTTATAATACACAAAAGAAGCTAAATATATATGTGACATGACAATAAAGTTTCGAGAAAATAAATTCATTTAAAAATTATATATATCTTAAAAATTGATCAACTATAAAAATATTTAAAATAATATTTCCTCATACATACATAGATATAATATTTTTTTTAAAGGTATTAATAAAATAATCAACTTTCTTTGGTATTAATGTAATAATTGTAATAATTGATAATATATACAAATTAATAGAGTAATGATAAGATTATAAAATATAATTTTTCATATTGAAAAACATTGAAAATTCTCAACATTCTCAATATCCTCGAAACTGAATTGTCACATATCACATAAACATACAAAATGCAACATATAAAAATCACTTCTGTTCGATTTCCAGAAGAGCCATTGGGAAATCGAAACTTTCTTTCTTATACACGTTCGTTTTTATGAATTACGCGTAGCCACAAAATCACTTCTGAAACTATTTTTATAACAAAGAAAGAAAGGGATTAAAAATCAAGAACCCCACGATCTTTCTTATATATATATGGTTAGTTTGACTACTAGGTTTCTGTACATACAGCGACTGTACTATATACTTGTATCTAAAGATTAATAATTTAGAAAAATTTTGAGCACGAGGTGAAGAATTTAGTAAATGAGCGGTTGCTTATATATAATAAATTAGCTCAAATAGTTAGTTCAAGTCTTCAAAAAAGCTTTGCAACCACGCATCGAACGAGCAATAAATTAATAATAATCATTGATATTTTTCATATTGTTTATAGCTTTCATCGGATAGTTTACATCTTTTTAGATCACCTGACTCAATTTAGATCTTTCTTTCATAATAATAGCCAATTATACATATATATAAAGATTTCTTTGAAGATTTTATTTATTTTAATTAATATTTATTATTATTATTTATCATTTTTCTATAAAAATTCAAAGAAAGAAATTATAAAATTAAAATTTGCTTGTATGATTTTACTAACTTGTTTGTTAAGAAAATTAAGAAAATGATAAACGAATAAAATCTAATTATAGAATTTTATTTATCTATGACAAATAAGAACTGCAAAGAAACTTGTACTTATACTTATAATTGGCTAAACAATAACCTAGTATTTATAATTTAATTCACTATCTAGTTTAAATAGTTAGATTCAAAGCTTAAGAACAAAATAAATTAGATAATATTTGATACTCAATGGTGCCAATATAAAAATACTACATATTAATTATCCTAAAATTCCTCTGCGTCATAGAGATTCCTTTTCTTGAATGAAATCAATAGGTAACAGCACAATTAATAAGCTATAGTTGGTTGCAATCCTTTCAGCAGTCTATATCATCATCTGGGTCAGTAATGTTTAACAATTATCCATATATAACAAAATAATGAACAACTGAAAGAAATAGATAATGTAATAATTCAGTAAAATTTAAAACTTACCCCAATTTATTATTTCAACAATTTCTTTGTCTTTTACTCTCAGTTTTTCTCTTAATCATTTATATCCATAAAACATCTGAACACTACTGATCCATGATAAAGTCAAAAGGAAAACAAAAAATTTCTTTCTTCAAAAATATAGGGTGTTTATTTGGCCAGTGAAATCAAAAGAATTGTTGAAATAACCGACATTGATCAATCAATGGCAGAACAGAGATATTGGCCTCTCCATCGATAGATCACTGTAAACCAAAATAATATTATTGTTATGTGTTTAAGCTTTCAAATTCATTGATAAGATTTTTAATTACCTTTTGAGAAGGGATTCAGGAAATGAAAAGTTCTTATGCCACCATTATTTGGTCTCCATAGAACTTTTCCATTAGAAGACAATAGGCTGAAGACCCTCATGCACCTAGATTTTAGCTCAGCTTAACGTATAAGTGTCATCCGGCTCGTGTTAGTGACCGCCGTTTAATAACGATTCGTTTACACGAAACTATGTGGACATTTAGGCCAGTACGAGTTTAAAATACGCTTCTGAAATACTGACATCCATCGAATCTTAAAGTTGTGAAATTGTCTAAATGTGTTGCTTTATAGGAAAATCCGTATCACGAGTAAACTTTTGATGAAACATTTGTCATAAAATCAACACTAATCGATAGGTGTACACGTGTATTTCGAAGTATATGTATGTATTTCATGAAACGTTCAATCTAATCACGAATTCATTATATTATTTATCGATTTCGTATATCATGATCGATCATTCTTGTTTATGGATGAAATTGAAGATGATCGCAATATGATTGTAACTTGTTGAGAGAATGGTATATGAGGAAGTTTGTAAATATATTGTTGCTTTGTGCAGAATCTAACTGCTATTAACTATGTCTCAGAATAGAATTTAATATTATCTCTCAGACGGCCAAACCTTGTAATTTATAACCCTCGTTAATGTATATTTCAAACATAGTCTCTATCTAAAATTGTATGGTATTATACAAAAGTGATAACTAAAAGAAATTACTTAAAAAAAAAAAAAAAAAAAAAAAAAAAAGAAGGAACAGGAATAGCCGTTTGAGGGTTAAGAGATTTCTTCATATGATAGTAATTTATTATGCAATTAAAGAACTTTCTGATATAATTTTAGAGTATATAACAAATATATGGTTATCTCTATGTAAAATGGTATTCTATATGTAAATTTAAGTTTGAAACATTGGTACGTATTATTTTATAAAATTAGATATCTATTTTATAAAATAGATATCATTAATATTACGTTGAGAATGTTGAATATTGAAATTTATAATGATAATTAAAACAATTTTTTAATCTTTTTTCCGCAAAGAAAACGATGTACGAACAAGAACAAATGAATTGATAAATATTTAACTAATAATATGTTTAAAAAAGAAGATGTGATATTTATAATAATTAATTTAGAAGTTAATTTTTGATCAAAAGTCAATTGTTCGATCATTGTCATTCAGAAGAAATATTGATCATTATTGATCAACGTCAATAATATATAGTTTTTACATCATAACATGCATATACATGAATTTAGTATCAGTATTATCGCGAAACAAAAAGTGTTATGCATAAATTTTACAGATATGTATCATTGCGTAATAAACATCTTTACGCTTCTACATAACATTTCTAACGATTGTTCTAACCCATTTATCATGAAAGTCATTAAACATTAAGAACAAGAATGATATACTCTTTCAAAAATGCCAATAAGATTTAGAAGAGGTATACCATCAGGCTCACGAGCTGTAGAATATTATTGTATTTATGTTGCATAGGCAAATGTATGTATCTGTACATAGATAAATAGATATTAGAAATAAATGTTGTAAAGAAAGACATACGTTCCTTTCTATTATCACGAAAGCCTAAATATATTCTAGTTTAAATTCAATATTAGAAGCAATATATAATATACAATATACAATAAAATGATATTGCAAGAAAACGAATTGTAGATAAAAACTTAAATTATTGTTTTTTATTCTTATAATTACATTGATATCATTCTTTAGATAATTTTTGTAATTTTTTCATAAATTATATAATTAAAGATTAAAAGAATTAATTTTTCAAGCTTATTTTTAAATATTTTAAAATAACATTATGTTAATAACCAAAAATTTAACAGAAAAGATTTCTTCAAGATATCTAAGTTGCTTCATCAACTTTAATAGAAACAATTTGTGCTGAAACAATCGTGAGTTAGAATGTCTGACAAAGCTCTTAAAAAATGTGGGTGAAGCAGACCCAGATTCCTAGAGAATTAATATGTATTAAGCGGAAACGATATATCACAGTTAGAAATTAAATTAAATGAAAAAATCCATTAATGTTGTCGACTGACGAAACATTTTAAATTTTAGAAAATCATTTTTAACTTGATATGCTGCTCAATTCATTATAAATACTGTTAAAAATGAATTTAAAAAATATTTGTTAAAAGTCATAACATTTACTCTTTAAAATGCTTCAAATTATATATTACAATTCTAAAAACGTGTGAATTCTAACTTTTGACAGATTTAATTTTACAAATTTTATTTCAAATATTGTTTTCATTCAATATAATCTAATATGTTATAAACACAATATATTATACTTTTATTTATTTTTAAAATGTTGTATAAACTCCCACATAGATGTAGAAACTATGTTATTCATTATATGTATACTTCATTCTTATTTCTAATACGATTAGATCAGTATAATAAAATATAGTTTAATATTGCTAAAATGGCGCCATAAATTCAAATTTAAGTCTACGGGCTTGTTAGTTCCACAAAAATCATACGGTGGCGCCACTAGCCGGCTGTTTTCAATATGGCCGCGGTGCCGTTCGTCAGAAGCGATTCGGAAGGAATCGATCTCGGTTCGGTAGCACAGAACACGTCACAGTATCCGTTTCGAAAGTTCTCGCGGAAAAACGTGTGCGTATTATTGTTTCGTTGATTATTTGCGAGTGGTGGATTCGTGTGCGAGCGAGAGGGAGCATCGACGTAAGCGTATCGATTCGACAAAATGAGCAACGTACCAACAGGTGAGATCATTGACGCCACTTTTTTCGATACGCTTCTTATTTTCCTCTGTAAGAATGTATTCCATATTTTCGGCGTGATATATCTCGCGTTCAAAATATATCTCTCGTTTAAAAAACGATAAGTAAATAAATATAACTCTAAGAAGAAGAACATAAATGATATAATTTATTTTTGTTATACATTCTAACCTATTGTTATTTTTTTAAAAGTTTTAAAACCGTTTCTATCGTCCTACTTATCTCGTGAAATTACGTATAATTGATCGTACGATAATCGCAATATCGCATGAAATTTTATTCGCTAATCATGCGATAATGTCGAAAGTAATCCAAGATTTTTTTATATAATATTTATTTACAAGCATTTTATATAATCGGTTTTTTCTTTATATTTATATTGTGTAAAAAATGTTCACAACTTTATAATAAAACGTTAATGGTGCGTTTATATACAAAAACCAATGCAATCTTCAAGCAATTGTTGTCCTAACCTCTCCAATTACACGAGCAAATACATCACACATACGTATATATGCCGGTGTGTTATTCTCATCC